TTAGGTAAGAGCAGTGAGTGATTTTCTCTTTGTCTTTTGTTCATGGCCCCAAATATTGCAAGCTGTAGCGATATGTACATTTGCGATATTTCGATAATTTCGGTATATTGCACAGCCCTAGTCATGTACATATATTGCGCGATAAGTCGATATATTGATTATTGCGACAGGCCTAGTCAGTGCACAATCACAGATCTGTTGTTTTATTCCAGCAGCTGACCGTGAGGATCATCAGAATGTGGCGGTTCGAGCCGCGGCGCGTCCGCAGGCGGCAGAGGAGCGTCCGGCAGGAATGCCTCGCCGCCGCAGAAACCTGCACAGCAGAGTGAACGTCCAGCGCGCGCAGCGGCCGTCAGACAACGGTACAGCAAGCCTGCCGTCTGAGCCAGTGTGTTTGCAACAGTGTAACAGTGTGCGCCTGCAAAGGAAGCTGTTACATTTGTTGCAGAGTTCATTTTAAGGTCATACCTGGTTCATTTACTAATGCATGCACTGGTCAGTCTTGCTTCCATGTCTTGTCTTCTTTCAGACTGGTGTGAAGAAAACATCAAAAATTCACATTTAAGTGTTTATTTTCACACTCTTATCTATTTGCATCTGTAGATTTCAATCTCAATCCATATCTTTAAGGAGTTTTTCTCTTGCATACACCAAACATAACACGCTTTTAGTCCTGTCTGTATTCTGAAGGTTTGTTCAAATATCATTCACGCTGATTTATGCAACATTTCATTCAGTGCTCTGACAGTATTTTCCAGAATCCCCTCTGGAAAAACCTTTAACTCTTAATATGTGACCCTGGACAACAAAACCAGTCATAAGGGGGTCGATTTTGTGAAATTGGGATTTATACATCATCTGAAAGCTGAATAAATAATCTTTCCATTGATGTGTGGTTTGTTAGGATAGGACAATATTTGGAAAATCTGGAATCTGAGGGTGCAAAAAAATCTAAATATTGAGAAAATCATCTTTAAAGTTGTTCAAATGAAGTTCTTAGCAATGCATATTACTAATCAAAAATTAAGTTTTGATATATTTACGGTAGGACATTTACAAAATATCTTCATGGAACATGATCTTTACTTAATATCCTAATGATTTTTGACCCATACAATGTATTGTTGGCTATTGCTACAAATATACCCCAGCGACTTAAGACTGCTTTTGTGCTGCAGGGTCACATATGACAACAAAATCAAACAAGAACTTTGGCTTTATCTAATGTTCAGATTTCTGTTCTGGAAAAGTATGCAAAGTGCATATTACATAATTGCTCGTTTGCATATCTAAACACAGCATTTCAGAAATCTTGTAGTACAGAGGAAATGCCTTAATGTACTGTGATTAATCAGCAGCGGAAAGAATGGTTCTATCTATTAGTTAAACATCTTTTACTCTCCTCACATGTAGTGTCTTGAGTTAAGTTGCGTCACGGAACACTTTAGAGTTTAGATTAGTCACTAAACGCTAACCGGTCTCGTTCTGTCTCTTCAGAGGACAGTCCTGTGGAAGCGGATGAGGATCAGGAAGACAGGCAGCTGTCTGAAGAACGTCCTCAAGCCGCTGCTAAAGTCGGAGCGAAGAAACAGAAGAAACTGGAGGAGAAACAAGCGCGGAAAGCTCAGAGAGAGGTTACAGCACTGCTGCTACATCTCACACTTCACCCGTATCAAAAGTCTGGTTATTAATGTGTGTGTTTCAGGCCGAGCTGGAAGAGCGAGAGGAGAGGAGGAAGATGCAGGAGCTCAGAGATCAAGAGAGACAGAAAGAAGACGAGAAGGAGAGACTGCAAGAGCAAAAACGGGTAATTTCAACTAGTGGTCGACCGATATATCACCAGTCCTGATATTACTGGCCAGTATTTGCCTTGAGTTTTTCTGTTCTGCCCTATGTGCGTCAGCAGCAGGACTTTTATTTTGACAGAGCCTGAGCGCAGACGCACAGGAGCTTCCATTCTCCATCTTCAATCGTTTACTGTCTTTATTTGACAGTTCTTCTAATAATTAAAGGGCAACCGCTATAATACTTTTTTATGTACAGTACTGTGCAAAAGTATTAGGCCATTAGTATTTTCACCAACAACAAAAAAATGGTTTTAAGTTATTACAATTAATGGCAAAAGAAATGTAAACTGATATTTCCTTCTGACACACTACAGCAAAAGATAGAAATAACTGACTTCAAACCATTTTTTGTTGTTGTTGGTGAAAACACTAATGGCCTAAGACTTTTGCACAGAAGTATTAAACGCAGCCTGCAGTCTGAGCCAGTGTGTTTGTAACAGTGATGTTGCATTTGTTGCAGAGTTCATTTTAAGGTCACACTTGGTTAATTTACTAAGACAAAACCAGTGTTTCTTCATGCACTGCTCAGTTTTGCTTTCATGTCATTCTTCTTTCAGACTAGTGTGCAGAAAACATCCCAAATCAACATTTTAGTGTTCATTTTATTGCACTTTATCTATGTGCAACTGTAGATTTCAATTCCAGTTCTGTTGGCGCGTGTTAAACGGATTTGATTGCAGTGCGCACAAAGTGTGCTGTTGGTTAGCGTTTAGTTTATTTATTTGTGTTTCTTGATTTGCAAACAATACTACAATAGGAATACAGAATCAATAAGCTGCTAATCAAAGTATAAATCTGTCTATTTTATGAATAATTAATTCTAATTATTTTAGTAAAGATTAATGAACAAGCAAACAAACAAATAAAAAATGAAATTCCATTGCAGAAATTGTCATGAATGTATTATTTACTATTTTTACATGAAATAGTGTGATTTTATATAGACCTACACTACCGGTCAAAAGTTTGGGATCAGAATGATTTTTTATGTTTTTACAGGAGTTTCTTCTGCTCATCAGGGCTGCATTTATTTGATCAAAAATACAGGAAAAAATTTAATATTGTGAAATATTATTACGATGTAAAATAATGTTTTAATATACATTAAAATCTAATTTATTTCTGTGATACGCAGCTGTATTTTCAGCATCATTACTCCAGTCTTCAGTATCACATGATCTTCAGAAATCATTCTAATATACTGATTTATTATCAGCTGTGCTGCTTAATATTTTTATGGAACCTGTGATACTTTTTTCAGGATTCTTTGATGAATAAAAAGTTAAAAAGAAGAGCATTTATTTAAAATAGAAATATTTTCTAACAATATACACTACCGGTCAAAAGTTTGGGGTCAGTACATTTTTATTCTTTCGTTTTTTGAAAGAAATTAAAACTTTTATTCAGCGAGGATGTGTTAAACTATCTTTCTGTCTGTCTGTCTATCTATCTATCTATTTTCTATCTACTATCTACCTGTCAGTCTGTCTGTCTATCTGTCTGTCTATCTTTCTGTCTGTCTATCTACCTGTCTGTCTGTCTATCTATCTGTCTGTCTGTCTGTCTGTCTGTCTGTCTATCTATCTATCTATCTATCTATCTAT